CTTGTCCCTTAGCAGACTATCCTCACATCTTCACCATATTGGGCACAGGCCCAGCCTTGACTGTTCCCTACTTCATCTGTTGGTACCACATCTTATGACAAGGCCCTTCTCAGTCAGGCCCCAAATAAGCTGTGTTGCCCCATTTCCCACACCGTAGTCTCATCACTCTAGACTGTCTCAAGTTTCTCAAGTCAAGTGCCAACCTACCTCTACACGCACGACCATCTAGGGCCCTTCCACTGCAGACAGTTTCTAAGACTTCGCTCATTCAATCCACATAGTCTTCTCAGACCTTCCCTGGCCCTTCCCACTTCTGCTCACATGGCAGAACTGGGGGGGTGAAGGAGTGGGCAGCACACTGAGACATGTGGGCACCTCACTTCTGATTCTGGCTCTTCCACTAATAAGCTCGGTGACTTGGAGTAAAGCCCTTCCCTGCTCTGGGTCCCAATGTCCTAATCTCTAAAATGAGGGGGTTCGACTGGGAGGTTTTCAGCACCCTTCACCTGGAATATTCTCTGATTCTGGGGGCAGGGGTATAGATTTACATTCTAGACTTCTACTGCCAAACTTGTAGAAAGAGAAGCCATTATCCTCCATCAATTTGAAACTCACCTGGTTTTTGGCTAGTGGAGAAGTCAGTGCAGGAGGGGTGGGGAGGTTCTTAGTGAGGACCTCTATGTGGGATCCAGTTTGCTGAGTGGTTTTCTGTACCTAGGATCTGGACTATGATGTGGCAGTTTTGTTTCCCTCTGACAGGTAAATTTGGCCAGCATCCAAGACTGGCTAATGGACACTCACTGAGTCCAACATGGCCAGATCTTGGTTTCAAATACTTCTTTGGATTGCCACAGCTTTGGGGATTGAAAGAGAATTTTGTTTTAAGCCATTGTCAGGCGACAGTGAAAGTGTTCCTCATTTTGAAATGCCTAGTAACGACTGGTTTTATTTTTATACCGGCCATTTCTTTGCGAAGAAATTAAACAAATAAACAGATGCCTCCCTCTCTCCCTTTCTCCCTGTCTCTTTTTTTGGCTTGGGTCCACAGACAATACAGTGCTGTCTGCACCATCTGCTGGCTCTGTAAAGGTAATTAACAAATGCACACTATTCCCAGCTGAGGCTGGTCTATAAAGGACAAATCATGCCAGGCAAACGGGAGAGGGACAAAATAAGACCACGGCAGGCAAGCTCGGCGGCTGCAGTCCTGGACTCCACTGGAGGGTGTTGTTACAGCTACTTGTCAAACTTTAACTCCTGAAAGTGAATTCAAATGGATTTAACTATGGAAATTGCATTTCACCCCTGCTGGGAGGCCCTAAAGAAAGGGTGAGGACAATTTCAGGGTGTCCAGGACTTTTGTCTCTCAGATCTTATTTTCTGTATTCATTTATTGTAATTTTTTTTAGGAGGGAGAAATAAGAAAAGACATCAACGAAAGCTCAAGATGTGTCATCATGTGGGACACTGAACTGTGGCTTTGGAGGCAGGTCAGTTCTGTCATCCACTAATGGTCTGAACTTCAACGTGTCGTTTAGCCCCTCTGTGGCTCCCTCCCGCACTGTAAGTTGGGAACAATAGTAATACCAAACGTTCAGCGTCATTGTAACCACGAACGAGATAATGCATTCAGGTCAGCAGTGTTATCCTGTGCCCAGCTAGGACCAAGCCCATCATTAGCGGTAGTTGTTGTTAACAATATCATTATCAGGTGAGGGTCCATGACAGATGGCCTAATCCACCCTTGGCAGCAGGGAATTAATAACCCTTCTAGCCAGAGCCACATTCTAAAAGGGACAGAAGCACTGTAAATAAAACACTAGAAGAGTTGACCTTAACAAAATAAGTAAGTCTTAAAAAGACGTGTTTGGAGCAAAAGATACAGTTACAACCTCTACATATTCAAAATACATAAAAACCAACAAAGCAAGTGCTCATTTGGACTAAGATTAAAGGGTTGGAGTAGGAGATAAATGGTATAAATCTAAAAAATGGAAAAAAAAAAGGTTAAAAGATGGGTTGCCATAAGATTACAATATGAATTCCGGAAATAGAGAATTATCTTCCCAGGACTGAGGAAGTCCTTACTTGCCATACTTAATCTCAGATAGGACCAAATAGGACAGGGTTCTCAGGAATCTTCCAGAAGCTCTTAGGAGATACAATGTGCTGTTGCTGCTGAAGATGATGATGATGAGGATTGCTTCTTTGTTCTCTTTGCCTCTGACTGACCAACTCGGAGCTCAAAGAACCTGCTTCTAGTTGCCCAGAGAAAAACATCCCAGATAATGCTGTTTTATGAGAGTGCTGGGGCTGCTCAAGGCAAAGTCAGAAGGTTGGTGTTTGTTTTCTAATGGCAACAAAAGATGTCCCTAGTCAGGAAAATGATAACATGCACAGTCCACAGTCCCCTCCCTGATGGCTGGAACTTGATATTTCTAGAAGGAAAGAATCTTAGTAAATATCAAATTCACCCACACTTGCCACCCCTGCCAGATCTCTTAAAATGTCAACGTGCTGAGGCACACCTGGCTCACTGCCAGGCTAGCCAGCATCCGGCAGCCCTACCTAGAGCAACAAGAGACATCACCGTCCATGGTTTATTTAAGGGACTCTGTCTTCTTCCTACTCGACAGTCTTCAATATTGACATTCTCCTTGGCGACAGCTGAGAATTCAGGGCACAGTGACCTAAATGCATCCAGTTCTTCCTTTGAAACCCAGCTCAGATACCATCTCTTCCTTGTAGTGTTCCCCAAGACCACATCCAACTGTAGAGAGAAAAATGTTCCTCTCCTTGTCCCAGCTCATGTCTGGGACATCCTGGTATCATTGTTCATCAGATAAACCTTCTCATAAGAGAAGGAACAGTTACAGTAGACAGTACAAGGGTGTGGGTTGGTTAACGGGGCATGTGATGGCTCAGAGAGGCTTCTTGTAAGGGAAAACCCTTGACTTTGAGGTACAAGTAGGGTTTTCTTAGATAGATAAAGGGAAAAATGGAATTCCAGCATAGAGACCCAAGGAAGACTTGATGGTGAGGCCACACCCATCATCCTGTTTGCTTGGCTGGACTGTACAGGGGGTATTGATAGGGATTTGCAGAGGTAAGGTCAGAAAGGGCTTTGCATGGCACGTCAGGGAAAATAGACCTTATCTTGTGGACAAAGAAAGCAATTTAGAGTTTTAAATAGCAGTGACATGATTGTATCTGTGTTTGAAAAAGTTCATTCTGGTGGCCATGGGGAGGGTGGACTGGAAAGCAGCAACGGAAACCAGGGTAATGGTGTTTAAACCACCTCTGTGAGAAATGATAGAGGCTTGAAATAAAGCAGCCGCGGAGTGGATGGGGAGGGGAGACAGGTGTGCGAGGAGGAGTGTTTGACCACCGCAAGGCTAGTTGGCAGGAGAAATGTTTTTAGGTTTCAAGGTTAGAATTCTTACTGAAAGCTACTGAGTAACTGGATGGCCTTGAGCATATTTCTCTTGATGAGCTTCGGTTTTAAAATCACTGAGACAAGATTGTTTAAAAGATTAAATAAAACAGTACAGGTACAGAAACTAGCCAGTGCCTTTCATCTAGAAAGTGTTCACACGGCAGCATCACTAGCGTTGGGAGTGGCGGGGAAGGAATCTCAGCTGATGTCCAGGTTGCCCTTTGCCATGTTTGTTCACATCTGGAATTCCTCCATCCACCAGGGAGGCGTTTAAGGACAGGCTTTCCTCATTCACTTCTGCATGCCCAGTGCCTACTTTGGTGCCCTGTGTATGTTTCTCGAATTGAACTTAATTATTGAATTTAATCGAGTCTTCTTTGGAGTGGTGGCAGGAGAAAGAATCAGGATGGAATATTTAGTGCCTGGAGAACGATCCAGGTGCCAGCACATAGTAAGTACTTCATACTCTCAACATCCGCCTTCCCAGGCCAGTTCAAGACCACCTCCCCCATGTCCCTGATCACCATGCAAAGCAATCTTCCTCCCCTCTGCCTCCTAGAAAAATGATCAAGCTGAGATTTATGGAGCTTTTCCTATGGGCCAGTATTTACAGGATAATCTCTGCTGATATGCACCACAGCCTTATGTAGTAAGCATCCTTATTACCTGTATTTTACAGTCTTAGAAACTAAGACTTGGTGAGGCCTGGTAACTTGCCTAGGGCAAGGCAGCTAAGTGGGAGAGGGTGGATTCCAATCTAGGCATTCTTCTACAGGGCCCACACTCTCAACTGCTATGCTATGCTGGATCTGAGGACATACCTAAAGTGACATTCCTGTGAGACTCCTCCTAGAGTGCCTCGTACTGCTGAGTTCAACTCAGCAGGCACTTATGGAGGCCCTGTTATGTGTCAGCAGTGGGCACAGAGAACAAACATGAGTAAGGCAAGGTCCAGTCATAAGGAGCTCGGAGTCAACTGAGAGCAGTACAGGCACACGAATCAATGGCATTCAACATTGCAGGTGTGGCAGCTGAGCTTGCATGCAAGCGTGGTCAGTGTCAACTCAATCTGGGGAGGTCAAGGAGGGCTTCATGGAAGAGGTGGTCACACGTCTTCCTGTGATGCCCTTCTCGATAACTGGCATTTCTGGATTGTCCCGTACGTTTCAACTCTTTTTATCCTTCTCCTCTCACCCTTTGTGGGGAGGAGATTTTCTTATAATCTTGGGCTGTTATAATAAAATACCATAGACTGGGTAGCTTAAACAACAGACACTTACTTCTCACAGTTCTGAAGGCTAGAAGTCCAAGATCAAGGTGTTAGCAGATTAATTTCCTAAAGAGGGCTCTCTTCCTGGCTTACAGACAGCAGCCTTCTCACTGCGTCCTCACATGGCAAAGAGAGGAAGCTCTGGCCTAACTTTTCCTTTTCTTATAAGAGTACTAAGTGCACCATGGGGCCCCATCCTCATCTAACCTGAATTAATTCCCACAGGCCCCATCTCCAAACACCATCACCTTGGGGCTTTGGGCTTCAACATTGAATTCTAGGGGAACACAAACATTCAGTCCATAACAGACGTCTTTAATAAAGCCAAATATTGGACAGGATTCTGTTGGCATAATAGCACAGTGAAGTTATACAATGAGAGAGAGGAAATTAGCAAGAGGAAGATATCTATCTGTGCGATGGATGCTCCCTCTGTGAAGAATCTGAAGGATCTGAAGCCCGGAGGATCCAGCATCACAGCTCCGGGCTGGAGACAGAGAGCAGGCAGAGAAACTGGAGGTTCTGAGGCAGCCCCTCTGGGATGCAAAGACAGATGGGCTGTGGAGGAGAGAAGAGGAAGGTTCCTAGAGAGGGTGAGACACTTAGCAGCCCTCCAGGTGGAGTCTGCATAGAAGGACAGGTAAACAATAGAAACTCATACATGTTTTGTACCCCATCTAGACTCCTCAAGTGAGTGTGACCAGCAAGGACTTTTTTTCTAGAATCAGACTGATCGTGCCCAGGTGCCCTTCCTGACACAGTGAGCATGAGGAAAGAGAGAGAGCGTCTTCCTGAAGTCAGGAACCCTGTTTTACTTTGCTCATGGTGGGTGCTCCATGTTACTTTTGTACCTGATCTTCGTGGCTGCTCCCTAAGCATTTACTGAGTGATGACTGAGCACTCACAACCAAGAACCCTGCTCATGCCCTCTCTCCAACGCCCCTCCATTTCCTCTCTTTGATGGTTGATTTTATTACTAGACTTTCCAGCTCTACACTCTATACTGAGCCTCTCCCACACTCAGCAAAGGGTCGCCACTCATCTCCCTCTCCTCTGTTATGTCTCTTCCTTACAGTTTTCAAGTTTGAAACTTGCAAGACCCAATCTTTATGATTCTTTCCCAGGGGGCTCTTAATTCTATGTGTTTTTCTCTTTTGGTGGTATGGTGCTCCAAGCTTTGGAGCTCAAAGGACATCTTTACTGGGTGGAACGGTAAAAAGATCATGGACTTGGTGTCATAAAATGTTCCATTTCACACTCAGCTCAGTCACTTCCTGGCAGGGAGATTTAGGCAAGTGTCAAGCCCAGGCCCCCTCCTCCCAGGGTTTTGGGAGGGTCACCACCAGAGCTGTGCTGGTCTCACTGCGCACACTACCTCCTGATAAACAGGGCCGAAGTGCGACACCAACACACCATGGCTGGTGAAAAGAGCCCTATCTGAGGCTCTGTTCACTTGAGAAGGAGGGGGAAGGGGTGCAGCTTCGGGGACTCCAAGCCCTTCAGGCAAACAAGATGATATGAACCTGAAGGCTCTTTCCCAGCCAGTTAGGAAAATAAAGGTTTCCTTTAGGCTGCACCCTTCTCCCAGGGTCCCCGAGCCTCCTCCCTACTTCTCAGAACCTCCTCGGGAACAAGTGGCCCTTGAACAGGTGCTACAAAAAGTTAGGATCAAAGAAGCTGATGACTCATTGGAGGTCCCTGGAAAAAGGGTGTCAGATCTCTATCTGGGTTCTGCTCTCCCATCACTGCATCTGTTCCTCCCAGCCCTATGCCCCATCTGCTAGTTAAGAATCTGCTGGGTGAAGCAACAGCATTTATGAAACTCCCTTTGTATGCAAAGTGCTGTTGAAATGTGGTTCTAAGGGAAGACTTCTTGGGGGATTTTGCAAGCTGCTCAGAGACAAGGTGACAGATGACGTTTGACCAGCCCTGCATGGTGCTGGAGCTGTACAAAGCAGGTAAGACTGAGTGGAAAAGGTGAGTCTGAGTAGTATTGAGAAGGAGGGCAGAAATCATACGATACAGAGAACATGGAGGAGGCACATTCTTGGAGCAATCTGCCAAATCAGGGAGGTGGGGCCTTGGCAGGTGTGGATCTGGCTACCAACTGCCTCTCTAGGGTCGTCTTGCACCATCTGCCCCCCTGGCCCCCCTGGAAACCAGGGCTTCAGGTGTACTTGTTGTTCCTGAGCATGCCAGGCTCTTTCCTGCCTCCCTGATTTTGTACATGTAGTTCCCTGCTCCGGAGTTGCCCTTTCCTCTCACGTCCACCAGAAGAAGAACTTGGCTTAAGTCTCCTCTTCGATGAAGTCTTTGCAGACTTCTGTCGACAAAGATGACTGCTCCTCCTTCACCCTTCATCTGAATTGCAGTAAAAATAACGAGTTCTTGAGGGCTTAAGGTGTGTGCGCATATGTGTGTGAAATGTATATGTGAAATATACAGAGATAAGTAGACAGATAAAAATCCCATTCAATTCTTAGAGAAACTCTGCATTATTATCTGCATTTTACTGCCAGGCTTCCTGAACAGAGGGTTGGAAAGTTTAAGTAACTTGCCCAAGATGAATCAGCTCCTAAGTTTGGACCGAAACTCAAACTATTGCTTCCTCTCTCAGACACTAGGAAATCCTTTCTGTATTATGATGCCTATGACATCTGACTCATTTACCTAACTGCCTCCCCTTCTTCAGGGCCTGGCTCTGGAGCAGAAATCCAGTATACATCTGTTGAATGGAATTGATTTGAAGAGAGCTGGCAATTAGAAGACTTCAGAGACGGCGCTGGTGATGGAACAAGGTGCTTCAGAATAAAAGATGAGTTAGGTAAGCAGAAGCCAATTAGGAGAGGATGCTCCAGCCTATGATAAGGAGCTTTAATTTGATAGGAGACAATTGGGAGCCATTCATCGTGGAGCTCGGAGAAAGGCAGTGACAAGCCCCTAACGACACTCAAGGGCCTTTGAAACCTTTAATTGCTGCCTGCAATTTTGCTATTTCCATGCAGAAGTGACGTGACACAGGAGGATAAGCTCACAGCTGCCATATGCCCCAGGTCGCACTGCCCACAGCAAGGTCACTGTGAGAACAAAGTTCCTTCCTTATGTGCAGAGTGGGAACATGCAAAGGATCCCAAGTCACTGTCCCTGCATGTCCCTGCATGGCCCTGAACCCCAGATAAAGGCCCTCCCTGCCTCCCACACCCCCACACCCTGCATGGGTCTTGGGATAGAAAGAGCCTGCAGGGGCCCGCACACACCCCACCCCATCTCGGCCAGCAGTCAACATCCCTGTTAGCCTTTCTGCAACTTCTGCTCCCTCTGTGTCTCACTTGTGAACCCTTCCTGGTCTCTGCCCAGAGAGAACATTCACGGCTTCCCAGAATTTCAATTCCACAGAGGCAGGATGCATCCTTACCTTTCCCAGGACCACTTTGACACACGAATGGAAGGACCAGGATGGGAAGAGAGGAAAGAGGCAGTGGAATTCTGCTCACAGGGAAGTCATGGAAGGCTGTTTTGTTTTTATCTTTTATTTTCCCAAGCTTGGGAGCTCTTCGCTTCTTCCATCTGGCGCAAAACCACTAGGAGCCCAGTGGCTGGGCCTGGCTTTTCCAAAGCCAGTGAGTGCCAACAGTAGAACGGATTCCAGACGCACAGGACAATGGCCTCTTCAAGCCACAGAAAGCTGCCAGTGTTGTATTGTTTGCATGTGATGCAGCTTCTTGAACACACACAAACACTCCTATTTTTACCAGCCCCGTGACGGTGATTTAATTACTGCTGAAGATGTTGGGGCTCATTCAAACTGCAAACCTCTGTCCCCACCCCCACCAAAGAGGGAAGAAAACAAAACCAAGCCCCACCTATGAAAAAGAAAAGCTGACCACTGTGCAAGTGCAGGATGGCAGCTCGGAGGTGGGCCCCAGGTGCGTTAATTACACTTAATTGCACACTGGTTTATGACCGCGGTCACTTGTGTGCTATGCTCTGGCCCAGCATCTGTGCCGAAGGATAGCTTTGGTATTTCAAGAAGCAAGATGAACATCGGCCAGATGGTGACTTCACGAGGACATAATTCATGTAGCGTTTTCCTGCCCCAATGTAGATTTCTGTGAAGGAATCTTGAATGCCATGCTGAACCAAACAGAACAAGAAAACTCAACCCCACAGAAGAGGCAGCCATGAGTTGAAGATTAATGGTCTCAACAGCGACTCCGACAGGAACCCAAATGGTAGTCAGATCTCAGGCTCCAAGCTGCACATTGTGCCAACCCATCTTCCTGTCGCTTGCAGAGTGAAATGACATCATCCTCGGCGTCTCCAGTGCACTCTGCAGGGGGAGGTGGGGCAGGCCCCAAAATGACATGCTGCAGGAAACTGGGTCACTTACCTTTTTTTTTTTTAATTAACTTTGTGTAGCGACAGGCCTCGTCAGCACCTGCTAGCTTGGTAATTTGATTTTGACGGTGACCGAGTGAAAAATGTGCTTTTGGCTTCAGCCTCCAGGACTAGTTCTGGGGGGCTGGAAGAGAAAACTGAAAGAAGAGCAAACCTGTCTTCTTGGAAACTCTTAACAAGCACTACTGGGAAGCCTTGGTATTATTGGGCCATGAGTTAGCAGGCAAAATAGCCCAGTTCTGAGTTGGTTTAGGAAAGTTCATGCTCTCTAAGAAGTAATGTGTATGTGACCCACATGGAGTTAAAAAAAAAAAAAAGTAGGCGTTACACACCTGTCAGTGGCATTTTGCATGCGGTAAGCCTGTCTGGAATCTGTGCAATTTCTACAACCTACACACTTGAGTCCTGAACCACGAAATAAGGACATGCAGACGGAAGGTCATGCTGCTTCAAAACAAGGTCAGCCCAAGACAGTTCTGAAGCAAATATAACCAAGGTCAAGTATGTGGCCCAGCTGTGTCCTCACCCTGTGGTCTCTGCCCACAGACCCTCCATGTCATCATGATGTGTGCACTCAGAGGCAAGACGAGTCCTCGCCTCATTCAGGACCAAAACCAGCCTACGAAACAACGTTGCCATGTTGTGTGTTTGCTGTGTTCATTTGTTTTAAAGGAATAAATAGTAGTAGTAACATTGAGCAAGGTCGCTTCTTGCACACTTGCTGCATATGAGACTCACTGAGGCACATGTCCACATCAGCCTCTGCAGCCTCCTGCCAGGTAGACCTATCACGAGAATAGACCCTGGTGTCAGATGGCCTGCTCCACCTGTGTGTGACCGCACACCAGTGACTTAACTTCTCTGAGAGTCAGTGTCCTTAGGGGTTAAACAGGAAGAAGAGAACCTAGCTCACAACTCAGTAAAGGATGCTTTGAAAGCTTGGTAGGGAGCCTGGCACATGCCAAGTTCTCCTAAAAGATCAGCCATTAGGGCCCAGCATGTGTAGCTGTAGCAAAGAAAGAGAATCTCCAAAGCCCCACCAAGGACACAGCTCTCTTAAGCGATAAAAATAAGATGGGAACCCACCCCCCCTTGGCTGTTGCTTCCTGCTCCATTCCATGGACGGATGCAAATTTATGGCAAAAAGCCCAGTGACAACAGTCCCTCCTCCACTGGCATGATTTGGCACCCAAGCTTTGGCAAACAGCCCACTATGCCCATAAAAAACCTCTATTGTTTCTTCCGAAGGCTTTTTGCTTGATCCCCCCAAATAAAACGTTATTTGCCCCTCCCTCCACCCCAGAAGAGAAACAGCTCCAGGGGGAGCCGGCTCTTCCTGCTAGGAACCTGGGGGCCGGACCCCAGCCAGGCGAGGCTGGGCAGGGTGACTCAGCAGAAAATGATCTGCTGCTCAGAGCCCGCCCACCCTGCCACCCAGTCAAGGAAGGCCTCTGTGAGGCAAACAGAAAGGACACTGCTCAGGTCTCTGGGCGCAAAGCGTCCTTTGTCCACAGGGACTTCAGACAGGAACCGCCCATGTTGACATTTCAGCTGGCAGAACAGGCCAGGCCTGGCTTGGAGAGGCAGGAACCTCGCTCAGATGCTGGGAAGGATGGTTCACACTCTGCAGCCCTGGCCATAGGCCACTGTCCTTGTCCTGAGTTCTTTATATACATTAATTCACTTAATCTCATAGATGTGAGTTGTTGATTATTATTCCCATTTTGAAGATGGGGAAACTAAAGCACAGAGAGGGCAAATAGCTTGCCCAGGGTAACACAGCCATTAAGTGGAGGAGCTGGGCTTAAACCAAAAACGTCTGGTTTCGAAGTGGGTGGCCACAGTGGCCAGGTCTTTCCTGTTGACTGCATGTCACTCCCTCCCTCTCTGCTCTGCTGCTTCTGGGAGAGCTCAGAGCTGAAGGCCAGCATTCTGTGGTTTCTTGAACCTGAATGTTTCACTCCATCCCCACTACACCTGCTCTGTGACAGGTTTTACTCTCTTCCCTGCATGCTGTCACCACCTCTTAACGGGTTCTTCATCCAGCCAGGTTCCCCGCTCTCGGCCACCCTGCCTCATAGTTGATGCTCCAGCAGCAAGTTTTGATTGGAGGGCCTGCACACAAGTGCTGGCTCCACCTGTCTTGGCTCATGCTGTCCTTACTGCCAGGAACCCCTTTCTTCCACCCTCTTCATGGTTGACAGCTCCAGTAGGACTCACCTTGGACACCACCTCCAGGAACCCATCCTCCTGCCCTCAGGGTGGATGAAGTGGCCCGTTGAAGCCCACATACCATCCAGTGAGTATTTCTAATGCAGCGCTCCAGGGAAAAGAACTTGTTTATGACTTTGAATCTCCCTCGATGGGCTCCATTCCTGACATACCTCAGGTGCTCAGTGAATGCTTGTTACACAAAGTGAATGACGGTGTCTCCATTCCTACAGCAAGAGTCAATGCACCACACTTGCATGGATCAATGGTGGGGCCATGTGGGTTTCTAAGGATTTCCAGCCCTCTGCCTCCCAGGTCCATGGTAGGATGGCACTTCCCAGCTCCATGAGGTTGCGGGAGGGCTGTGTGGTCAGTTCAGGCCAATAAGTCATGAACAGAAGTGAGATATGTCACTTCCGGGCTGTGCCTTCAATTATAGGGGGAGACCCTCAGAGCACAGTGACCAGTACATTGGAGATGGCAGCTGCTCCATCAGCCTGCGTCTCCGAGTGACTGTGAGAAACACAGCCCTCAACGAACACATAACATGAGCAAGAAATACACCGTCGTTGCTTGAAGCCCCAGAATTTTTTTCAGCATAACCTGTCTTATCCTGAAGGAAGTAACTTGAATCTATTATTAACCTCATGGATGTTATTTTGGGCATTTGCCAAGAGTGGCCTTTCAGGTAGAAGGTTGGCTGCAACACCTAACACAAATATTAGTAAACATAGCAAGAGCTAGCAAAGTTTCAGAAAACGGTCACATACCTTCTGTGTGTTCCTAATCACTACATCGATGGACTGCTGTCCTCTCAACCCCTGTGTTTCTTTTACTCCTCACCACAGACCTAGGAAAGGCACAGGATATGCATCATGCCCTTCACTTATGGAGAAAATAGTGGCTCAGAGAAGTGTTACCTGCCCAAGGTCACAGAGCAAGAAACTTGTGACTGGGATCAGAACTGGGATTTTTGACTCCCCACCTAGGATTCTTCCACCTGGACCAAATCCCCAAACACTTGAGGTTTTAAAATCTTATGTACCGGGAAGCCAAGTTTGAGCCAACATAAGGAAAAATCAGATGCTGCATTATTTCTAAAGGGCATTAATAGCCTTTTGTTTCTAAATCATTCCCAAACAGTAATAGTTATTTTTATTATAATCATTGTCATTTTTTTATAGCAAATACCTGGCAAATACCAAAATGGTGAGTACCATGAGATTAACTGCCATTTAGTTATGGTGATGGGTGGCGAGTGGCCCTGGCCCACACTGCTGAGGGCTGAACCAGAGGACGGTGGCTGATGACTTGAGAAAATGTCTGGGAACTCGAATTGAGTGTCCCACTAGCCCTGGTCTTCACTGCTCCTGCTCAAATGTAGTGATTAGAAACACACAGAAGCATCGATGTAGTGATTAGAAACACCAGCTTTTATCTGGGGTCACCTAAGTTCAGAGTCAAGACAATGGTCCTAAGAGCTCCATCTTGGGCCCAAAGGGCTTTAGAAAGGTGTCCAGCACTGACCTCAAATGAGACCTAATTCAACTGAGGGTCAGAGATGGGAGGGTATTGGGAACCACGGCTCTTCTCCAGAAAATATCTCTTCGTCTTCTTTCCCCTCCTCCTTCAGGTATCATATGGTCCTTTTTCACCTTCTCTCCAGGCTTACCATTGGTCTCCGCTTTCTCTTGTCCACATGACAGCATTGTTTACTAGACTTGCTTCTCTGTATCTTCAAACTACCGGCTTCCTCTCCTCTGTGGTTTATGGTTTCTACTGGCGACATGATCCACTAGTTGAAGCTTACTTTTTCCACCTTTACCACTTCACTCTGCCAGGATGGTGGTTCTGAATTTCTCTCACCAAGGACTTAATTTGGCAATATCACTGGGGCACAGGAAAGCTTTTATAAGAAAATAAGAGGCCCATTTTAGAGTCTTAGCTTCATAAAACCACACTGTTCCCCCTCCCTTCCTTTCTCTTTCCCGCTTTTTTCCTCCCTCCTTCTTTCTTCCTCTGTATACCTCTCCTTACCCCCCTAACCCCACCTCTCTCCCTGTCTCCTTCCCCTTCTCTCTCTATTTCCAAAAGGTAGTCATAATAATATGGACACTGGCGTCCATTATAGGGTTGGGTGTTTGGGACAAGCTCTGCTCTTGCGTTTGTCCCATCTTGCCTTTTTATTACTATTTGAATGGTAAGACCCCAAGGAAAGGCCCAGGATCAGAGAATGAGATCAAGCAATAAGGGCTGATGTGACTGCTGACCTTACTTTGCCCTTGGTGTTGGATAGGCTGGACTCCCAAGTTCACATGCTTGTCGTCTGTCCTGGTGCATCAGCACAGGGATTCTCCAATGGGATTTAGAGTCTAAGCACCTTAATAATAAACTTTGTGGACTGGCCCAGAGTGTCCTCTCTGCCAAGCCTCCTGTGTGACCTCTGGCAACAGTAAACAGTTGGTTGCAATTTAGAGATTTATTATTCCAGTCAGTCCCTGGACTGGAATGTCCCTGTCATTCCAGTCCAGTCCCTCTCTCTTCTTTTCAAGATGCTAATATTCTCAATTATCACTGCTAAAATGACTTAAATATCTTTATTTTTATTTCTTGCTAAAGTTGAATGCTTTGTTTCTTGCTTTCAAGATTAGTAGAGAGCTAGATTTAGAGATGGAGACAGAGAGCATGCACTTACGAAATGTCAGTCATTGTACTGTGCACTTTATATGTTTTCCCTTACTTCATCCTCACACCCATCAGACGAGGTAACTGATGCTTAAGAGAGGTTAAATAACTGCCCAAGGTCACACGCTAGGAGAGGTGGAGCTGAGAGAATCCTGGAGACAACCTCCAGGACTCATGGTCTTAACCACCACACTATACACACCCTTTAGGTCTACCTAATACCCCACCATCCCTACACACTCAACCTACCAACAATCCACCTGACTCCTCCAAAGTGCTTCTCTTTAAGGACTCTGGTTTTCATCATGCTGGCTGCCCACCAGGCTTCACACCTTGCCCTCCTTCTTAGCTCCTCTCTCTCCTCACCCACATCTGCTGAGTCACTGAGGTTTGTTTCTTTCTTTGTGTACCTCTTCATACCTTCCTTTCCTTTTTGGTCTCACTGCCACCCCCAAGTCCAATACTTCATGATGTCATGTCTGAACTGCTGTAATTGCTCCCTACTTTGTTTTCCTGATTCCTCCCTACACCCTATATTTATGACTTGATTAATCTTCCCAGAACATTACTCAGCACACATTGGCTTCTCCATCCTTAAAATCTTCAGATGTGCCCCATTTAACAAGGCCCAACCCCTCCCCTAGCATCTCCAATATTATCTACCTCAACTTGTCAGTTGAGAAGGAGTTGTTTCTTTAACTTTCTCCAGCTTTCCACATATATTGTGTGATTGCCCAGAGAGTTCTCTCTGTAGTGAATGGCATTTATCTCTCTCTCCATGT